ATTACTTCATCGTCTCGAGCAACTGGGAGTTTTAGTCCAACGATGACCTCCACCTTTATCCCCTAAGCCAAACAGTTTTCGGGGAAGGAGATGGTAAGGGCCAAGTGTCATTCTTTCTTACTCTTTTTTCTAAAGTTCTCAATACTTTGTTCTAATGTCTGTGCTCTTCTTTTTGCAGTTCTTCCTCAGCCACCAAAGGGCTTTCGCCGGTCTTTCTTCCCCAGTAAGGACTTGAAGAAGCTATTGGATTTGCCAGTCCACAAGCGGAGAGCCCCCCTGCTACTCAATTTCATTCCTACTTACAAGTCAGTACTCCCCGATGTCCCAAAGAGGAAGAAAAGCCAATCTCCCCCTTCTGCCCCAACTCCTCAAGCTGTCTCCTTATCTCGGCTAGATCAAGGATCGACCTCTGATCCAACAGAGCAGCCGTCAACCTCGGCCCCATATCTGATCCCACCATCTCAACGCCAACGCCGACGATGAACTGTTTTTGCTGTCGAGATGGGCCGCCAGAAAGCGGTTGCTAAAGATCTCTTGGCCAATATTCCTGACTCAGTTGATTCTCAACCAGCACAAACCCAGCCTCAGCCAAAGCCAAAGCCAAAATGTCTGAAGAAAGCTTAGCCCAAGGCAACGGTGACTCAGATTGATACTAAGGACACTTTGCCAATTTCCAAATTGGCTGAGAGTGATAAGGCCCCATCTGCTGCTGAGAAGAGGCTTGTCGAGGCCCAACCATCCGAATCTACAAGATCAAAGAGGCCGAGGTCATCTTTTGCAACAGTTTCGGGCTCCATGAAGTCTGACTCCCACTAGGCTCCGCAAATCACATTGGAGGACAGGCCGGTCAGAGCTGGTGATAGTGCCGATGACGTTAACGTCGGTGTTGCCCTTAGCACAGCTTTGCTCCTTCCTGGAGATCTAGACCAAAACGCCGAGATGAGCGAGTATGAAAACTTTGCACTGATGCTCCAGCATTCTGTTCAAGTAAGTCTTCACACTTGGTATCTTTCTTTCTTTCTTTTTTTTTTTTTTTTTTTTTTCAGCAAAAATAAATTTTATTAAATTAGAAGCAAGAATAATCTGTCCATTTTTCTTCAGGCAATCCAGCACGCCCACTCCTTCTCAATGCAATCTTTTGAGACAAGGAAGGCGTTGGCCGACAAGACTAGAGAGGTTACTAGTTTGCAGAAGACCAATAAAAACTTGCAATAAAAAATGAAGACTTTGGCAGACCAGGCCGAGGCTGTTGTCAATGCCAAAGATGTGGCCGAGGAAAAGGCAGATGCTGCTGATGCCATAAATAATGTTCTTGAGGCCCAGAAAAAAGAGGTTGAAGAAAAGATGGCCGAGGCCCAAAAGAGCTGCAGGATGCCTTGGCCACAAAAGACGCTGACCTCAAGGCCGCCGATGAGAAGGGATACAATGAGGGGATGGCCGATGTCACGGCGGACTATGAGAGACAGGTGAAGCAGGCATGCAACAAGAGTTTCACCCTTGGTTGGATGGCTCTCCTGAAAAAAACTTGAAGTCCCCGAGGACTCCCCCCTCAGGAACACCAACGTCCTTGCCCTGCCATTCCCCCCAACTCCAAGCCAATCCGACAACGATTCTGAGTCTGAGGAGGAAGCTTTGGTGGGGAAGTCAAAGGAAGCTGCTGGGGCCAAGTCCCTTACTCAAAATGAGCAAGTCCTAGACTTGACTCAAGATGAGGAGGGTAAGGAGGTTCCCAAGGATGCTACTCCTGAGAAGGCAACATCGGACGCACCTATTGCTGATAAGAACCTCGACCAAACCCTCCAAGAAATAGACGCCGAGCTCACGGCTGAAAAGGCGGCCGATGTGTCTTCGCAGCAGTCTTCTGAACTCCAAACCCAACCGCCCAAAGATGTTGAAGAGTCTTAGTTTGACGTCTTTCTTTTTTCTGTTTCTTTGTACTTTTTCCTTTCTTTGAAACAATGTAAGCTTTTGACGTGGCCGATGTGCCTTCTTTTGAATATAAATACAACTTCTTTTCTTGAATGCTTTGTAAGTTTGTCTTCCCTTCACTGTTCTTGTATGGCTACCATACTTAGAATATTTCTGCATATCTTCAATGTACACCTTAACTGTGTAATCTTCTCAGGGTGAAATACCTAGGTTACACCCACCAACGGTTTACATCAGCAAGTACATAAGTACTCATTTTAATACAACCTTTGGCCTTTATTTGTAAATTTTTTCACAAATTTCAACAAGTGTTAAACATGATCTCGGTTTAACTTCAACTTGTAAATTTTTCACAAATTTCGACAAATGTTAAACATGATATCGGTTTAACTTCAACTTGTAAATTTTTCTCAAATTTCGACAAGTGTTAAACATGATCTCGGTTTAACTTCAACTTGTAAATTTTTCACAAATTTCAACAAGTGTTAAACATGATATCGGTTTAACACATGATCTCGGTTTAACTTCAACTTGTAAATTTTTTCTCAAATTTCAACAAGTGTTAAACATGATCTCGGTTTAAGTTCAACTTGTAATTTTTTCTCAAATTTCAACAAGTGCTAAACCTGATCTCGGTTTAACTTCAACTTGTAAATTTTTCACAAATTTCAACAAGTGCTAAATATGATCTCGGTTTAACTTCAACTTGTAAATTTTTTGCAAATTTCAACAAGTGCTAAACATGATCTCGGTTTAACTTCAACTTGTAAATTTTTCACAAATTTCAACAAGTGTTAAACATGATCTCGGTTTAACTTCAACTTGTAAATTTTTCACAAATTTCAACAAGTGTTAGTCTAATTTTAGCTTGTATATTCTACATTGCCAGGAACCATTTTCCAACTTCCTGCCCCCTAATGTGAACTTAAGTTCCACTTAGGTTCTCATTATGCATGTATTCTAGAAACATCATCAACTATCTTATCAGTCACAAGCGTGAAAAATCAAGCTTTATTTATTACTTTGGCTAATAACGAAGAGAACAAGAAAATTTAATGATAAAAAAACTTACGATTGCAAGTATTCCAGGGCCTTGGCAACTCTTTGCCCTTATTATCATCAAGCCGATATGCCTCATTGCCCAATACCGAGATGATTCTATAGGGTCCCTCTCAATTTGGGCCAAGTTTTCCCTCTCTGGGATCTTTCTTGTTGCTGACGACTTTTCTCAAGACGAGGTCACCGATTTGAAACTCCCTTGGGTTGACCTTCTTGTTATAAGCCCTAGCGAGCTGCTGCTGATATGCCGCCAGCTGAATTGCAGCTCTCTCCCTTGTTTCTTCTAGCAGATCCAGATCTCGGGCTAATAATACATCATTAGTCCCGTTCTCTACTCCCTGGGTTCTGATACCTGGGATGCTGACTTCTAGAGGAATGACTGCTTTTGTGCCATAAGCCATGGCAAATGAGGATTCCCCAGTTGATCTTCTCGGCGTAGTCCGATATGCCCAAAGTACACTTGGCAGTTCATTCACCCATTTTCTTTTTGCTGCTTGCAGCCTCTTCTTAATCCCATCCAAGATGACTTTGTTGGATGCTTCTGCTTGTCCATTGCTTTGAGGAAAGCTTGGGGTTGAAAAATAATTCTTGATTTTGAACTTTGCATAGAAGCTCTTGATTAGCTTACTATCAAACTGTGTTCCATTGTCGGCAACTATTGCTCTTGGAATCCCAAATCTGGTGATGATGTTTTTCCATATGAAGTTCTTCACGTCCACGTCTCGGATCTTGGCGAGGGGTTCAGCTTCTATCCATTTGGCAAAGTAATCTGTTGCTACCAGTAGGTATTTCCTTTGCCCAGTTGCTTGGGGCAGTTTTCCAACAAGATCCATGCCCCATTGGGCAAACGGCCAAGGACTGGATACTGGGTTCAGGTCTGCTACTGGTTGGTGCATTAGTGGTGCAAACCTTTGGCACTTTTCAAACTTCTTGACATAGGCTTCTGCATCTTTCTGCATGTAGAGCTACCAATATCCTTGGGTAATGGCCCTGTGGGCAAGTGATCTGCCCCCTACGTGGCTTCCATATATTCCTTCATGCATTTCGTATAGAAAATCTTCAACTTGTAAAGGATGTACACACCTCAAAAGGGGTCCAGTGAAGGATCTTCTGTAGAGATGTCCCTCTACTGTTAGACTGAATCTTGCTGACTTCAATTTGATCTTGTGTGCCTCTTTGTGATCATCTGGCAGTTTTCCTTCTTTCAAGAATGCTATTATTGCGTCCATCTAGCTTGGTCCCATGTCCACACACATTGCTTCACGCTCTGTGGTCAGTGGTTCGATGCTCGGGCCCAACAAGTAGTCGACCATTATTGTCCTTACCTTTCCAGGTTAGATTGCACTAGCCAGGTTGGCCAGGGTATCGGCATGACTATTATCATCCCGGTTAACCTGATGTAGTCGGCAATTCTGGAACAAGGCCACCAACCTGCCTACTTCTTTTACGTATGCTGACATACGTTCATCTTGGGTTGCAAACTCGCCTGTTGTCTGGTTGACTATAAGTTGAGAGTCACAGAAGACTATCACCTCATCTGCTTCTACTGCTGCTACCAGTTTCAGTCCTGCAATCAGTGCTTCATACTCTGCTTCATTGTTTGAGGCTTTGAACCCCAAACGAATGGATTATTCTAGTATTTGTCCATCTGGAGATACCAGTACTACTTCTGCCCCCGCTCCTTGTTGTTTTGAACTCCCATCAACAAACAGTCGAAAGGAGTCGCCAATGTAAATGCTGCAGGGCCTGAGTTTTTCTTCTTTCCTTTGTTCTATTGCCCTTGGCTGGGCTCCTCTTTGCTCGCTTGGACATCGTTCACCTCGGCTCAGCGGAGCCTGATGTACGATGGCTCCTAGCGTGAACTCAGCCACAAAGTCGGCCAAGACTTGGCCTTCGATTGCTGTTCTGGGCCTGTATTCCAGGTCATATTGGCCTAAGGCCATTGCCCAACTGACTATTCTGCCTGTCAGATCTCCCTTCTGCAACAGGCACTTCAAGGGATATTTAGTTAGTACCAGAATTTTGTGGGCTTGAAAGTAATGGTTCAGCTTCTTTGAAGCCATTACTAAGGCCAGTGTTAACTTTTCTAAGGGTAAATACCTGGTTTCTGCATCAGTCAGGGTTTTTCTTACATAGTAAACAACTCTTTGTTCCCCTTTTTCTTCTCAGATTACCACTGTGCTTACCGCATGTTCCGAAACTGCTAGGTACAGGAACAACTTCTCTCCAGGTTGTGGATTTGAGAGAACTGGAGCCGTGGTCAAATACTTCTTTAAGTCGTTTAGGGCGACTTCGCATTCTTCTGTCTACAAGAAGTCTGTGGCCTTCTTCACTAGGCTGAAGAAGGGTTTGCATTTGTCAGAACTTCTGCTTATGAACCTATTCAGGGTTGCAACCCTCCCAGTTAACATCTGTACTTGCTTTACCGATGTTGGGCTTTTCAGTTCTAAAATGGCCTTGATCTGATCTGGGCTGGCCTCAATGCCCCTTCTGGTCACCAAGTATCCCAAGAACTTACCAGATCCAACTCCAAATGCATACTTCGATGCATTGAGTCGGAGCTAGTATGATTTAAGGATATCAAAGACTGCTTTTAGGTCGGCTAGATGACCCTCAGGTTCTTTGGTCTTCACGACCATGTCATCGATGTAGACTTCTACTGTTCTACTAATTAGATGTTTGAACATCTTGGTTACCAATCTCTGGTAAGTTGCTCTGGTATTTTTCAACCCAAACGGCATCACTCTGTAGCAATGCAGCCCTTTTGGGGTGATAAACGCAGTCTTCTCTTCATCTGGCAGGTACATAGCTATCTGATGGTACCCCCTATAGGCATCCAAGAAGCTTATCCTTCCATGCCCTGAAGTGGCGTCCACCAGTTGGTCAATCTTGGGTAAAGGAAAGCTGTCTTTGGGACAGGCCTTGTTTAGACTGGTAAAGTCCACGCAGACCCTCCATTTACCATTCTTTTTCTTTACCACCACTGTATTTGATAGCCATGTCGGGTAATTTACCTCTTAAATGGCTCTGGCCTCCAAAAGTCTGTTTACTTCCTCTTCCACTGCCTCAACATGCATCAATGTCGGTCTTCTTGCTCATTGGATTACAAGTTTGGCTGACCTATCTACGTTCAGTTTATGGCAAGTGACCTCGGGGTCAATGCCTGGCATTTCGTAGGGTGTCCAGGCAAACACTTCAATGTTTGCTCTCAAGAAAGCCTCCAGTTCTTTTTCCTCTTCTTCAGCTAAGCCCGAGCCGAGAAGGAAAAAGCGTTCTTCGTCTCCCTGCTGGACGAGGATTTTCTTCAATGCTTCTTCACTCTTCTTGGTTGGCTCCTTGTCGACGTCCTCTAGGACCTCCATGTCCTCGTCTTCGATCTCTGCCCTCTCTGGTTCTCGTATGCTGCAGGTGGATTTCATTGCTGCCATGGAGTAGTTCTTTGCCTGCAGTTGATCTCCTCTGACCCCCTCTATCCCATGCTCTATTGGGAACCGCAATAGTTAATGCAATGTCGAGGGAATAGCCCCCATTGCATGCAACTATGGTATTCCCAAGATAACGTTGTAAGGGGAGGGTGTGTCGATTATGGTGAAATTTGTATTTATCTTCTTAGTGCCAGCTTGTACCTCCAAGCTTGTTACTCCTAGTGGCCATGTCGGCGTTCCATTGAACCCGACCATTGGGCTATTGGATTGCTCCATGTCGCCTGGGTGAAGGCCAAGCTCCTTGTAACACCTGACATACATGATGTCACAAGAGCTGCCTTGGTCGATTAGGATACGTTTCACTTGGCACTCCCCAACCTGGAGGGATACTACTAAGCCATCGTTGTGCGGATGTTGGACCATTTCCAGGTCAACTTCAGTAAAGGACACTATTGGTCCCAGGCATTTCTCGGTCTGAGGTCTCTTCTGCTGGACCTGGTATACATGCTGCAAGTGCTTTACCTTCTGGGTTTCTCTCCGTATTTCGTTTTCGTTGACCTTTGAGTGAATTACATTAATTACCTGAGGTCCGCCTTCTTGCGGTTGTTGTGCTGGAGGAGGTGGAGCTATTGGTGCCTGAGGTAGTCTTGCCTGTTCTTCCCTTGTCCTGGCCTCATCCACAAGGTCTTCAAATGGCCTTGCCTGACCAGGTCTTCCAAGTGTGCCTTCAGGGCTTTACAACCCTGAGTCAGATGCCCATCTTCATTGTGGTAAGCACAATGCTTACTAAGGCTTCTTCCCACAAACTCTCCTAGTACCCTTGCTGGTGCTCTGAAATAGGGTTGGGTTCGGATTCTATCCAGGACTTTGTGAATTGGGACTTGGAATATAGTTGTGACTGCCTGTGCAGCCCTCAGTCCAATCTCTTACTTATTGGATCCGTTGTTACCTCGGCCTCGTTATGGCGAGCTATTTCCTTTCTCTTGCTTTGTCGCCTTGGTCCCTAGCGTGTCCTCCTTGGCCCTGGCATATTTCTCAATTCTAGCCATGAGCTCCTCAATGCTTTTTGGCAATGTCTTTGCCAATGATTTTTGGAGTAGACAACCATCTTTCAAGCCGTTTTTAAATGATACGACGGCCACTTCTTGGCTGCATTCTGGTATTCGATTGAATACCTCGTAATACCTCTTGGCGTAGGCCCTTAGGCTTTCATCCTTGCCAATCTTTAGATCCATCAAGGCATCCACCCTTAAGGGCTGTAGTTTGTTTGTCACGAACCTGGCCACGAACATCTCGGCCAGGCCTTCCCAGGTCTTCACACTTCCTTTTGGTAATTTGTGAAACTAATCTGATGTAATCTCCCCGAGTGATTAGGGGGAACACTTTGCAGAGCAACGACTCGTTCCCAGTGTACAATGCCATCAAGTTCAGGTATAATCCGACGTGAAAATTGGGGTCTGACTTACCATTGTATATCTGGAACCTTAGCATACTGAATCTTTTCGGAGCCTCAAATTTGTCCAACTCCACCGAGAATGGTGTTCTCGGCTTAACAGGGGAAGTTACCTCGGCATTTTGTTGCTTCCTCTTGAGGTAATCTCTCAAGTCCTCTTTGGTCCACCCAGGAGCTCAGCTATCTCCTGACTTCAGTCTTTTCGGTGCACTACTCTCAGCTTCGTTGTGAGCCCTTTTCGACTTTTCTCCATTAGTTGTGTCGAAGCACAACTCCTGCCTTTGAACATGCCGATGTTCTCTAGGGTTTGCTTCCTTGGTGCGATGTGTCCTTTGAGATTCTTCCCTTCTCGACTTTCCTCACCCATTTTTCGCTCCTGGTGTGTTGGGGGGCTACAGGGATGGTTTTTTGCCCTCCCTTCTGGGCATTGGCCGCTGGAATCGGCATGTCCTGCAGCGGGAACGGTGGCTGCATGACGTTGTTTTGCATCATGAAATTGACGACCGATTGCAGGTCTGCCAATTTGTTCGCCATCTCTTTTACCTCTTTATCCCTCCGCAGGCATCTATCTTTCCATATCTGGAGATCGTCCTCGTTGTAATACCCGCTTAGATCCGATTTTTTCGGTACGTCGCCTTCCTGGCCAACGTCTTTCCTGCCGTGATTCTGGTCCTGAGTCTCTTCGTTGCAACCATCTTCCTTTATGTTAGGGTCAACGTGTTTACCGTTTCTAGCAAGGATTTCATCCCCAACCTTATCTTTCTGTCCGTCGCTGGCCATCTATTCTCCTTTCTTTCCCATAAACAGCGCCAAATTGTGTGTGTCAATTTCCGACCACACTGCCAACTTAGTATTCAGCTTGAGAGCACTAGCAGAATAGATGGCGCCTGATTGACCTGCAACAGAAAGAAGAGATTTCGGCGGTGGTTCGTCCACCCGGGGGCACTCCGACGATCAAGTCAGTTATCTCTCAAAGATATCAAAAGTGCTTAATTCACTGTTCAAAATATAAATTGCGTACCTTAGACCCATGAGGGTGCCTCTCTTTTATAGTTAACTCAATCCTAGTCCCATTAGAAGCCTAGCTTCAATGGACTTTTGCTCAGTGCTTATCTTGGACTCTCCAATAGATAAAGATAAACTCCCTAAGAGCTTTATCCTTATCTAGGCTGAAGTCCTTCCTCATCCTAGGACTCTTGTCCCTTATCCGCTTATCCCGGATTCTGATATCTTCGGAGGTATCCTCGGCGTTATGACCAGGACACGTGGCACCTCGACTGGCGTCACCTTTGGCCATTTGTTGGTACTCAAAAAATATATCCCCATAAAAAGTTTGCAGGTAAACAATTCGTGAGTACTTCTTCCATGATCGTCCCAAATATGTCTTGGATGAAGTCATGACTTGTGAATTATGAATTGAAATCCCGGTGTTTTGGTTCAGATTAGTTCGACCTGGGCTGTCACCACATTTGTTTTCTTTGGAAGAAGGGATTTCTTTGCATACATGATGCAGTTGCATTCTTTATAAAATTGTCGATTTGAATGGACGTAGAGTGCGTTTTGGTATCCTTCGAAGTTACATTGGTAAAAGACAAAAGCATCAGAGTTGGATAAAAGTGCCATGGCCTGTTTGTTTTCTGGATCAGCTGTGTTGCAGAAGGTGATACCACGAGCTATGATTCCATTGCCCAAGACTGTTGAAAACTTATGGAAGATCTTTCACATGATTCCATTGATAATAATTTCTTTATATTCATAATATAGCAATATAATAAATTAATTAGTGTATGAATTGAAGGCATTTGTATTAGAAAAACTCGCAAGAAAATTGAAGATATTTTCTACACCTTATTTTACTGCAATTATGGTTTGTGCAATCAATTATTGTTGGCATCTTTGTCCTTAAATTTTGTTAAAATGTTAAACCAAAATTGGTGAGGGTTACATATACAAAATATAGATACTATTTGACGATTTTAGCCATATGATTTTGTAGAAGATTTGATGAAGATGAACCACACCCTTCATCAAATTTCTAAATCCCACAGTTCTACTCAATTCTAATGAAATGTAAAATAAAAAGAAAAGAAAAGAAGTGAGCATGGGTTGAGGAATATTTACTTTCATTTTAAAAAAAGGTTAAAAT